CCCCCCGGCTGCCCCCCCAATCCCCCCCCAAAAAAATGTGGGGCAGGGCCAGGGGTGGGGGGCGGGGGCTGAGCCCCCCCTGGGACCCCCGCGGAGGGAATAAAAGATGACGGTGACACCGCCAGGGGGGGTCCCCACATTTTTTTTTGGGGGGGGGAGGATTTGGGCTGTAAATTTGGGGGCGGGGTCTTGAAATTGGGGAGGGACTTGGGGTCCAGATTTGCTTTTGGGGTGGGGTCTGGAGGTCATGACCCCATATTTGAGGGGGGTCTCGAGGATGGAGACCCCGAATGTGGGGCGGGTCTGGGGGTTTGGAGATCATGGGAGGGGTTGGCGGGGGTCGTGGGGCCCTGGGACCCCCAAAACCGCCCTGGGACCCTACCCCAAATAAGGAACGGGCGTGGTTTGTTGTAGACCACGCCCATTTTGCCAAATAAGGAAGTGGGTGGAGTCTCCATGTGACCACGCCCAGATATGATCACACCCACACGTTTGGGCGTGAGTTCACTCCAAATAAGGCAGTGGGCGGGGTCTGAGGGTGGCCACGCCCCCTGCCCTGAGTCATTCCCGGCGCGGCCCCGGCGGAGCGAAGGTACCGGGACCCCTCAAAAAAACCCCCAAAAAACTCCAAAAAACCCCAAAAACTCAGGGGAGACCCTCTGGATCCCTCCCAGGGCCGTGCAGGGACCTTGGGACCCCCGAAAAACCCAAAAATACCCCGAAATTCAAGGGGAGACCCCCAGATCCTTCCCCCAGAGCCGTGAGGGGACCGCGGGACTCCCCCGGGATCCCCTCAAACCAACCCGGGACCCCCCAAAACCCCACAAAGACCCCCCCAAAACCCCCAAAATTCATGGAGAGACCCCCCCCAGAACACCCCCAGAGCTTTGACAGGACCTCGGGACCATTCCCAAAAATCCAAAAATCCCGAAAAACTCAGGGGGAGACCCTCAGAACTGCCCCCCCACCCCTCCCCCCAGAGCCGTGAGGGGACCAAAAGACCTCCGAAAAACCCTCAAAAATCCCATAAAATCCCCCAAATCCACAAAATTCATGGAGACACCCCCCCAGAGTCGCCCCCAGAGCCGTGGGGGGACCTCAGGACCCCCTAAAAACCTCCCCAAAATCCCCAAAATCCCCAAAATTCATGGAGAGACTCCCCCAGAATCGCCCTCAGAGCTGTGAGGGGACCTTGGGACCCCCCCGGGATCCCCCAAACCCAGCCGGGACCCTCCGGGACCCCCAAAATCGACGGGGGACCCCCCCGGGACACCCCAAAAAACACGGGGGACCCCCAGTGACCCCCCTGAGACCCCCAGTGACCCCAGCCCCTCCGGGACCCCCAAAATCGACGGGGGACCCCCCCGGGACACCCCAAAAAACACGGGGGACCCCCAGTGACCCCCCTGAGACCCCCAGTGACCCCAAGGAGCTGCTGGAGAAGCTCCAGAGCCGGCGCGGGCCCCTGGGTGGGCACTGGGATGGACTGGGAGGGGATTGGGGGGGACTGGGATGGACTGGGTGGGACTGGGAGGGGATTGGGGGGGGACTGGGATGGACTGGGAGGGGATTGGGGGGGACTGGGATGGACTGGGAGGGGATTGGGGGGGACTGGGATGGACT